GGCATGCTAACCTACATGGGCATAGGTGGCAGATCAGACAAACTAGCCTTCAATTAAATAAATTTAACAAACACTGTTTTTGGTTCGACGAGTCGTAATAATTTATGTACGAAATTTCGTTCTTCAGGCCTGCAGATCCATGGAGGAAAGACTACGTATACAATTACTACTCAATATTGTTAGAATATAATGATATATTGCTTAGGTCTTTTATGGTTTTCTCTATGTATAGGCCTAAGGATGAGATAAAATTACCTGATCTTTTTCAAGAGAGGGAAAACCTTGAATTTTGAAGAACTTAAAAGTCATTAAAAGACACCTCAGACGTCGGAAAAGCTCATTTCCGGCCATATTAGGAATCAAAATTTACGCGGGAGAGGGCCCCCGGACCCCCTTTCTTTTTTTTTTTTAGTTTTGTGGGGACTTTCTGAAACCCCTTCTTGAAATCATGGATCCGCCCCTGATTATGTCAAAAAATTACTTTCATGATATTAACCAAATTGAGATTTTGACGTTTCATTTTGTTTTTTACACTGAAACCATAATTTTATATAAAGGAACCAAAAAAAGTCTCTTAGGATAGTTTATCAATTAATGAGATTCATGTACCTTTATTCTAGACGTCTCTTTTAAATGCTTACCTGCTATTCAACTTTCCAGTGCCGTAAATCCGTTTGTGAAAGTTTTTTTTGTTTTTTTTGTTTTTTTTGTTTTTTTTTTTTTGCTGGACAGTCTGCTTCCATTGCTGAATTCAGCAGAGGCTATGTTGTGTTTTATAATAAATATGATACTGTAATATTATAATTTATGTTTTTGTACGAAGTGGCCTCGGTATAAATTCATTTGCCTTCCATCCAATCTTGATTAAAAACCATTTTAGTAATTTGATGTTGCTCGTATAGATGCAAGTTTGATGTTCTTCACCCATAATGTTTTCTTTTTTTTGCAAACTTAAAACCCGCTTTCATTCAATATTGAATGCCTTGTTCTTAATATTTGTATTATTTCTCATGTGTTTTTGTACGTTTTATGAAGTGAAACGATCATTTAGCCTATGCGCAAACTTTACTCAATGGTTTCTCTTTCTTTTAACTTAAAACCCGCTACAATTCAATATTGAATGCCTTATTCTCTTATTTATAATTATTATTTCTCATGTGTTTCTGTGCGTTTTATGAAGTGAAACGATCATTTAGCCTATGCGCAATAGGCGGTAATTCCATATTATGGTCGGAAGGAATTGAACGTATTAATTGATTAAAATAAATTGAATTACATATATTTATATTTGAATGTTAAATCCTTTATTCTTGGTCACTTGGGGTTGCCTTTGATGATTTTGTCCATTTCGTTTCTAAATGAGTGAGATAAATGATGTAAATATGATAATTGAATTTTCAATGCGCTTGATAAAAGGATACTTATTCTATGTTTAGTTATTCTTATAATGACTATATACGCAATAATCGTAACTGTCTATCTAAAATGGCTATCATTATAATTAATAGCATTTGATTTAATTAAAAATTGATGATACTGATAATTTATGTGTTAATCTTGTACTTTCAATACTGCTTTGAGGCCTGCTTCGTAAATGGATGGATTTCAAAACGGTAGGCATAAGCTTAAACATACCATTTTGAAGAGCATACATTGAAATATCTTACTTTATAACTGTTGTGAAATATTACAACGTTCTCTTTGATGTGAAAACACAGTTGGAAAACTGCATAATTAGTGAGACAAAAGTTCCAACTTTTTTCAGTGTCGTCATATCGCACGACTTCTTACATCCTGCAGTAATAAGATGACACGCTAGTTGGTCGGAAGTGCTTTATTAACTTTCAAGTAACTTATTTATAATTTACAATGATCTAAGCTACTGAACACAGCGCGCATTATCGTTAAAACTACTTCTTGCATATTCATCGACCTTTAGAACCATAGGTTAAAGTTTATTATTGCATAGCTGGATAGATCTCGAAGTTTTATTTATTAACCTGAAAATTACTGATATTGTCAATTGCTGAATTACAGTATGAAAAATCGAAAGTGATAGATATTCCTTTACATCTGACATTATACAAATTTCTCCGTATCAGTGTGCTAAGAGTTTTTTCTCAATAGTATTAATTAAAACCATTCAAATTTGCACATAACTCTCTGATTTTTTTCTTTATAGTTAACTTCTGATTCATAAACATAAAAAACATACATTAAAAAGCAAATCGCAGTAAACAATATATTCATGTTCAGTTTAATGGTTTTGAGATACACGTTTTAAGACAATACTATTTGATTTGTATGCTTGATGAATTTCATTCTACTATACCTCAACTTAAGCATTATGGTATTTTCATCGCTTTTGTAGGGCCTAAGAGGTTGGGCTATTTTCATTTTTAGGTTAGGCCTATGTGTTTTAGTATTGTTGTACCGTTTTACTATGAATTGTTTTACATGCTTATGAGCCTATTTGTATTTTTAAAATTTCGTTTCAAGATGAAGGAGGCTATCAAGCGTGTCATTTCCTAAATTTAGCAGCGATTCTAATATTAGATTATTTAATTAAAATGTAAATTGAAGGGGAAGGACACCCTGTGGGCTATTGTAAAAAAATATATTCGACAATCAACAATACTGAATTAGTAATGTGAATTTATAAACAATAGCATTTCGAACATAATAATACGCAAAACACACAAAATAAATAATGATAAATTACGATTATAGAAACTATACCCTGTAATTATATTACAGTTATGGCTATAAAGATATATATAAAATACAAACAGAAGAATACCAGTTGTATGACGCTCAAAAACGTCCCCTTGTCTATATACTGTACGTGATAGAAAATTAAAATTATGCCAAATGAGGCATAGATTTTGCCAGAATGCTACATTTTAATAGTAATAGTAGCTATTGTTTAACCAATTTTTTTGCTATAAGGTAAGGTAAAGGTCGACACCTGAATCTCTGGGCTCACGGGCCTAAGTGCCCGTCTCCCTTTCTTTGGCTTTTGGTCCAGAGTGTGCAAGACTGGGGTGTTCGCGTCTCACCCAGTCCCAGCATTGCCGGTACCCATTTATATTCATGGGTAGAGAAAGAGAAACGTAAATTTTCATAGCTAAAGAGCGACTTCGTGTGATTATATATATAGGACTACCTATTTGCTACGTACAGTGAGATATACATGCAGTGACGGCGTCAGTCCCCTCCCCACCCATCGGACAAGTCAAGCCCCCACCAGCCAAAAATCTCATTTGCGAGGGGGACACCCCCTTCTTTTGACACTCTCCTCCTCAGACATACAAGGTCACCCACCCCCTTTGTCGGACAGCTTTGCCCTCCCACCCCC